AAGAGAGGATTATATGGCCAAAATCACGGCCTTTGTTTACATATTTAACAAAATAATACTTAATTGATTTACCCAGAACTGCAAGCTCAACAATTGAATATGAGCTTTGTAAGTTTTGAAAAAAAGTTATTTGGGTTGGAAAGTATGGGTAAAACACCCACTGATTATCAACTCAACTTGATTTGGAAAGTTCGGTAGTCCGCATTGTAAATGTGTGGCCACCATTCTAGTACTCCTGCGGCGATAACATTGGATAATCATAATAATCTGATGCGTGTCATTCGTATGCGGCTTTGGGAAGTTTTTTACATTTTCCATTTTCCAATGCACGGTGACGTATGTTGAAAGCACGCGGCCCAATGGATCAATGTGTTTGGTGACAATATGCAAAATAATTAATTGATCAATTAATGGGTCTGGAATTTCGGGCTAAAACTATTGATTCGATTTTTTCAGGACGGATCTTATCTTTAAGCCAAACCAAAAATGAGGCAAAACCTCGCTTTTGCCACTCTATCGTATACAGCGCAACAACGTGTGGTGCCAAAAAATTGAATATTTACAATAAAATCAATTAAGGATTTCAATTTTGTTTAACAGGGCACGTGCAGTTAAATCATGACGAATTAATGGCTGTTGTCCTGGCAATAGTAAAGTTGTATCTCTTTCCTAATTCGGATTACATGTGAATGTAATAAATAAATCCGTCCGGCTGAATGACGTACGTAAGTATCGGCATTTGTATGTATTCCTGCATGTTCGTGACTGCCGATGTTAGCTTGAAGGTAAAGTGAAAGCAATTACCGATGTCCTTGGATTAAATTTCCATCGATGTTTCCAGAAACAGCATCTCGTAGAGTGAAGATTTCTTTCGATCGTAGTTTTGCCTGGTTGAATCGAAGAATCGCAAGCGTTCGCTTTCGACCTAGCATCATATACAATTATGTGAACAGCTGACGATAAATCGAAGGATATATGTCTTTGATGTTTGTCTAACCATTATTCGGTGTGCGTAGTAGGTTCATTGAGCTAACTTTTTAATTTCTGTACATCACCTAAAAATAAAAAATAAGAATGCAATACGAATTAAAAATCTATACATACAGTAAGAAATAATAGAAATGTAATTTACCAGGGTATTTGGATATACTGTTTGATATTAAGGTGATATTCATCTTGTCCTTGAAAAATATCAATTGGATATTGTGTGCGGTCATATGAACGGTGTAAGGATCCGAAAATCGTACTGACAGTATTTGTCTCGCCGTGTCATTTTTAATAAATCTATGTCACTGGAATCCCAACCATGATAAGACAGCAACCTCACAGAGTTGGAGCGTTGAATCTCCAGCAATGTTCACCTAATGGTACTTGGTCGGCCTTTATGACGATTTGATAATTGTCATTTGGCAGTGTGGCACAACTCTTTTGATAATTGAATTTAGTGATTGTGATCTTAATAAAAAATTTTCCAATAATATCACAATTGCTCTTTCCTCCTGCTTGTTCAATAAAATTAATACAGGCACGCAAGTCGTCACGCGCTCTCACATAGCCCATAAAATAAATTTTTGAAGAAATTTCGGATTGGTTATCAAAGGCCATTGGGATCAGTGATTCCGGTTTTATGGTACACTGGCCTTGAATTTTGAATGTGTTTTCAAAAATTACGTCCATCGGATGCAGATCGCAATTTTAGTTGCCCCAAATGAACGTCATTTGAAGGGCAAGAAATTAAATTTGCGTAATAAATACGCAAAAATAATTTGGAAGCATCTGAATTGCCAGTAGAGTAATAAGGCTTCCGGCGGAGCGGCTGCTTCATCTCCGAATTTCAATGCCGACAATATTGACATAAATATCCATTCACCGATAGCAATTTTTGAAGTGCGCTGAGTAGTTAATATCTGGTGCATAATAAGAAGCCGAACAGACTGATGCACGTGTTAATGAGCGGCTGATCGTTGCCTTTGTCGATCTAGTACTCGTACTGTGCTAGTTTCGTTTTCGATGGCCGTACTTGTTCTCGTAATATTCTGTTTTTGCTGACGTTTGTCACGCTGTTCTTGAGAATTCTTGTGCACGACTTTTTGCAGTCCTGATTCTTTTGAGCTGCATTCTTGTTTCGA